ATGCTGTCTTAATTATTGTATCTTTCTGCTAAGTTTTGAAATTAGAAAGCATGAGTCTTCCAAGTTTTTCAAGATTTTTTTGGTTATTCTGATTTCTTCATATTTCCCTATGGCTGTGGAATCAGCCTGTTGATTTCTGCTCCCTATGAAGGCATCTGGGATTTTGAAAGTCGTTGTGTTAAATTTGAAGATCAATTTGGGGAGTATTTCCCTCAGAACAATAACATTTCCAATGTCTGAACATAGGGATTTCTTTTTCTTTTTAGTTCATCTTTAATTTCTTCAGCCATGTTTTGTAGTTACCTGTGTGTCTTCAACTTCTTTTTTTTGTCATGTTTATTCCCGAGTATTTTATTATTTTTGATTCTATGATAAATGGAATGGCTCTGTTTTATTTTTGGACTGTTCGTTGTTAGTTCATAGAATTCCAGTTGATTTTTGTTATCAGAAATAATGTCCTTTGCTCTGAGCTAATTTATTAATTGTAATAGTTCTTTTAGTGGTTCTCTTAGGGTTTTCTGTAAACAAGATCATGTCATCTGCAGAGGTAGTTTTATGAATTCCTTCCCAATCTGGACACCTTGTACTCCTTTTCCTGTGTTATTTCCCTATCTAAAACCTCCAGTGCAAAGTTGTGTAGAAGTGGCAAGAGAAAACATCTTGTCTTATTCCTGGTCCCAGGGGAGAGCATTTCGTCTTTCACTGTTATATGTGAAAATAGTTGTGGATCTTTTCACAAGATTTCCTTTATGAGGTTGAGGTTCCATTCAGTTTACTGAGTGTTTTGTATTTGTTTTTGTTTTTAATCCTGAATGAGTGTTAGAATGTGTACAAGTAGTTTTTCTGCACGAACTGAGGTAACCACAGAGTGCTTATTTTTATTCTGTTGATGTGGCTGTTACATGGAATGATTTTTTCAAATATTGAGCCTTGCATTCCTGGGATCAATCCCTTGTCTGTGACATATGTTCCTTTTATATGTTGTTGGGCACAGCTAGCTAGCACTTTGCTTAGGATTTTAGGATCTGTGTTTGTAAGGAATTAGTCTGCTGTTTCCTTGTGATGTCTTTGACTGATGGTATATCAGAGTAATAGTGGCCTCTTAGTATGATCTTAGAAATGTCCCTTTCTCTTCTGTCTCAAAAGAGTTTGTACAAGATTGATACTGTTTCTACTTTTTGGTAGAATTCATTGGTGAAGCCATCTGGCCCTGTTCCTTGCTTTGTTGGAAATGTTTTGATTGCTAACTCAGTTTCTTTACTTGTTACGGCTCTATACAAATTTTCTGTTTCCTCTTGAGTCAAATTCAATTAGTTTGTGTCTTTTTAGGATTTTTTTCCTATTTAATCTGGTTTTCCTAATCTTTCATGTATAATTTTTCATAATAGTCCTTTGTGATCCTTTTTACTTTTATAAAATCAGTAGTAACATCCCTTTTGTTTCTAATTTTAGTCTTTTCTTCGTTGGTTTATCTAAGTTTATCAGTGTTGATCTTTCCGAAGCACTATTCATTTTATTGTTTTTTTTTTTTGCTGTTATTATTTCATTCTAATCTTTATTATCCCTCCTTTTGCCTGCTTTCAACTTAACTTGTTCCTACTTTTCTAGTTTCTTGACACAGATGTTTGGCTGTTGATTTAAGACATTTCTTCCCCCGATAAAGGCATCTGCAGCACCACATGTTCCTCTGGGCATCGCAGTAGCAGCATCCCATGTTTTAGTTAAGTGTTGCTAGAAACGAATTAATATAATCCCAATCTGCTGTCCTTGGGAAAGACTGATGGCAAGAGTGGCCTGTGACTGGCATCTTGGTAGGTTCCCACCATTCCCAGAACTGACACAAGCTGTGCCTCAATGGTTTCTACGTTTGCTCTCTGTTTTTAGTATTTTTCAGGTAGAATATGCCTGCATGGCAGCCGCCAAAAACCCTGGGCTCCCGGTGTCTACTGCAGTGTTGGCCATATTTCACAGAGATTGTTACAGTTCTTTTCTGGGGGTATTAAATGCATCCTATGGGACTCAACCGCGAGAGGACCTTTGGAAGGGACTGATCTCCCCCTGTCTGCCCCAGCCATCTTGTCCCTTTGATCCTTTGCTTGATGTCCTTTGGCTGTGACACTTCCAGCCATGGATATGAGTAAATGCCAAGTCCTCGGAGTTTTCCCAGTGACTTATAAACTTGAATGTGGTCTTGGGAACTTTGACACGTGGATCTCAAAGTGTTTAATTTTCTTTGTGATTTCTTGTTTTACATGCCCATCCCCCACTTTTTTTAGAACTCTATTCTTTAATCCACAAACTTTTGAATTTTCCTTTCAAAAAATTGATTTCATATTTCATTCTCTTGTTTGTTGGAAAATAGACTTTATATAACTCTGGTCTTCTTTGACTTCACTGAGACCTGTTTTTTGCCCTAGCATATGATCTGTCCTGGAGAAGGCTCCATGGACACTAGGGAAGAATGCATATGCTGCTGCTGTTGGATGGACTGTAGAATAGATGTGCCTTCATAGTGTTTCATACATTTATTTACTTCTTTCTTTTAATTTTTAATTTTTTTTTTTTTTGCCAGGCAGAGTTAGACAGTGAGAGAGAGACAGAGAGAGAGTTATAGACAGTGAGAGACAGAAAGGTCTTCCCTCAATTGGTCCACTCCCCTAATGGCCGCCACAGCTGGTGCTGCGCCGAGCCGAAGCCAGGAGCCAGGTGCTTCCTCCCGGTCTCCCATGCGGGTGCAGGGACCCAAGCACCGGGCCATCCTCCACTGCCTTCCCGGGCCACAGCAGAGAGCTGGACTGGAAGAGGAGCAACTGAGACTAGTACCCGGCGCCCCAATCGGGACTAGAACCCGGAGTGCCAGCGCCGCAGGCAGAGGATTAGCCAAGTGAGCCATGGCGCCGGCCCATTTATTTACTTCTTTGTCAGTCTTCTGTGTAGTTGTTTTGTCCATTTCTGAAAGTGACATTTTGAATCTGTAACTGTTATTGAGTTGTCTGTTATTTCTTCTTTTAGTTCTGTCAGTTTTTGCCTCATGTATTTTGATTTAGCTTTTCCTCTTGGATGCATATGTGTTTATAATTGTTATGTCATCTTGTTGGATTAATCCATTTAACAGTATTAAGTATACTTACTTGTCTGTCTCTAGTAACCATTTTGTTTTAAAATCTATTTTGTCTAATTTTAGCCACTCCAGGTCTCTTGATCACTTTTTGCATTGTGTATTTTTTGTATAGAATTACTTTCTACTTATTTGTATCTTTGAAATTGAGGTGAATCTCTTGTAGACAGCATAATGTTGGGTTTTATGTTTTTTTATAAATCTGTTCTGCCATTTGATTAGCTTTTAAACATCTACATTTATTATAATTATGAATAAGATAGAATTTATATCTGTCATTTTACGATTTCTTTTCTACATGTTGTATCTTTTTTGTCTCCTTTCTTCCTCCATTACTGCCTTCTTTGTGTTGATTAGGTATTTTCTAGTGTGCCATTTTAATTACCTTGTCATTTCTCTTACTATATATTTTTCAACTTCTTTTCTCAATGAATTCTGTGGGAATTACAATTACTATGTTAACTAGTCTGTTGTGGATTATTGCCAACTTGATTTTCATAGTGTATAAAATCTTTACTCCCATGTATCTTTTTACCTTCCCCCATACTCTGTCCTATTGTTGTCATAGAAGTTAAATCTTTATGCATTATAAGCTCATCAGAACAGCTTTATAATGGCTGCTTTGTGAACTTGCCTTTTAATTTGGACTGGAGAAAAAGCAGCTTTTTCATGTGGATCTGAGTTACTGGCTAGTGTCCTTTCATTCCAACCTGAAAAGACTCCCTGTAGTATGTCTCGTAGGACAGGTGTACTATGAGAGATTTTCACTTTTCTGTTTTCTTGGGATATGTTGATTTTTCCTTCACTTTTGAAGGGTAATTTTGCTAGACATAGAGTAGGGTTCTTGGCTGACAGTCTTTTGCCTTCAGTACTTTTGGCCCGCGTGATTTCTTATGAAAGTGTGGCTGTTCACCTTAGAATACCTGTGTGTGACCACTTGCTTTTCTGTCTTGCTGCTGTCAAGATTCTGTTTGCGTCTTTGTCTTGGACAATTTTAGTAGAGTGTGTCTACATGTGTATCTCTTTGAGTTGATCCTATTGTATCGGTCTTCTCAGGTGTGTAGATTTATGACTTTTGCCAGATTTGGGGACATTTTTGTCCATTGTCTTTCTACCTCCTTCTGTCCTTCCCCTTGGCATTTGATAGTGTACTTGATGACATCCCACTGGTCTCAGAGGTTGTTCATTTTCCTTGGATTTTTTTTCCTGTCTTCAGAATTGATCATTTCTATTGATGTCTTTGCATTTACTGATTCTTCCCTCTTTCATCTCAAATCTGCTTTTTAGACTATTTAGTGAATTTTTTATTACAGTTACAGTATTTTCGGTCTTAGAATTGTCTTTGTTTCAAATTTCTTGGTATTGGTAGTCTTTGCTCAGTGAGATCCCATCATTCTACTTTAGTTTTTTGAACACATTTTAAATAGCTGTTTTAAAATATTTTCTAGTTAATTTCGACATATGGGCATTCTTGGGAACAGTTTCTATTGCATATATTTTTTTTACTTGTATGAGTCATACTTCCTTGTTTCTTTGCAAGTCCCGTAATGTTTTGTTGAAGAGTGAGCATTTTAAATAATACAATGTGGCAATCTGAACATTCGGGTCCCCTCCCCATCCAGGTCTGTAGTTGCCCTTCATCATCGTTGTAATTTGTTTGCTTATGGACTTGCAGGGCTAATTCTGTATTTGTTGTATGTGGTCATGGAAGTCTGTGCTCAGTCAGCTCAGCGAATGGACTGACAGTTCCTTAAGTGCCTAGAACTGCGAAGCCTCCAGCCCTTGCTGAGGGGCTCTGTGAGCACGTTGAAGCACGAACGGCCGACGGTTGACAGCTCTGCCTTAGCATTCACTTCCTCCTCATGGTCAGTCAGAGGTGAGAGTCTTTCACTCAGTCTTTCATGAGTCTCCACATAGCCCCACACGTGCAGGTGGCCTTCCAGATTCCGTGGAATATGTCAGAGGTTTTCATGACCCAGTATGGATGTCTCATTCCCCAGTTTCCCTTTTTAGGTTTTCTGACCTGCTTCTCATTTGCCCCAGCTGGCTCTGATAGTCAGCACTTGTCCCTGACTACTGCCTGCAAATGCTCTGTGGGTAAAAGCCCTTTCCAATGAGTCAGGACAAATAAAGGCAAGGCCTGTGAAAGGGGCTTGCCCATTAGTGAGTCTCCAGGGAACTGACCAACAGATCAGATCATGACAGGGTTCTAGGACCAGGGATCTTGGACAACTGTCAGTTTGCACAGTGCTGTGGTTCAAATGTCCCCTCCAAGACTCATGTTGAAACTTAACTGTCCCTTATTACGGTATTAGGAGGCGGGACCTTTAAGATATGATTAAACCTTGTGGGCTCCACCTTCACAGATGGACTAACGCCATTGTTACAGGAGTGGGTTAGTTGTTCTGGGAGTGGCTTTATTATAAAAGAGCTCCCGCTCGCTCGCTCGCTTGCTCGCTCTCTCTCCTCTCTCACCATGGTGTGCTGCCCTCTACCATGCTGTAACATGAGACACCAGATACCAAGAAGGCCCTCACCAGATGCCAGATACTGGACCTGCCAGCCCCCAAGAATGTGAGAACTGAGTTTTCTTTTCAATTACAAATGCTCCAGTCTGTTGTATTCTGTCACAGCTCCAGGAATGGACAAGACACGTGACTACGATGATTGCAAGCCCTTTGGTTTTCAAAGTGTATTTGGTGCTGGGACAAGAGGGTGGAACAGAGCAAGTTAAAAAAAATGTCACGTCCTGTTCTGCCTGAGGTTCAGTTACTTTTTTTCCTGGAGTAAATGATCCTCAGATTGGTGCTAAGTCTTTGGCTACATTCTGAGATATTTTTACAGAGTTTTCTAGACAGTTTTTGCGAGTGCTTTTGCTGGTGCCTATGGAAGACCAGAGTTTGGGTGGCTGTCCGTGCGCTTCCTCCACCGCCGCTCCCCTCACCCACTGGCCCTAGTTAAGCGTGTGTACACAGCACGGGCTGTTACTGTTCGGCAAGGTGTGTAGAGGAGTTTCCTGGCCACTCGGGCGGCAAAACTGACGTCTGTTGAGTTCTACTTTACTCCCCAGATGGCACGTTTAGCAGCAGCCAAAAGGGTGGAATTCACTGCTGTGTTGTGTTACAAGCGTGTGTCGTAAGGAAGAGCCCAGGGAGGCTGCCCCTGTTTTGTCATCGGGGTGGGTGGTCCGGGATAGAATTTCTGCTCACTCAGCCCCCAGTGACTTAACCAAGAGCCACAAAGCAAAGTAGATCAATCTAGAAACGAGGCCTTCAAGGAGTAACAATCAGAAGTTAGTTACTGAAATCCCAGCATCGGCTGTGTTTTGTGCTTTACGGAAAGTTGTCTCCCCTGCTCTTAAGTTCCTGTGCCAGTGTTGGGTGTTTATACCGTGATGCCAAAACTGCTCATCCGTTTGAGCTTGTCGGACCTTGGGCAGGATATCAAGTTCAGTGAGCATTTGCTGATGATGGAATCTGAGAGTCCTTCTCTTAAAAGAAAAAAAGTACAGATAAGATGAAATTTGATGATTTATTATTTCCAGTATCCAGTGGGGGAACCAGGCTTGCTCTAGCTGGCTACTAGAATGTGCATGTGGCCAGTGGTTCCGTTTCAGAGGAATCATTAGGTGAAGGTGTTATTGAAAACAACGCTGTCCGCTGTGACCACTCTGTGGGCAGAAGACCACATGAAGTCATCCCACCTCCTCTCAGACACAGGCCTCATTGTTGTTACGTGGCTAATTACTGGTCGGCTCCCGAAGAGTTTGTCTTGATGTTACACAAACAGTTTATGCTACACAATCTCTTTATTCATGTAATAATTACAGCATATTTGTCTGACGTATTTCGCAAGTGTTCTCTTTGGATAATACTGGCAGGATTAAGTAATAGTTTCTCGCTAACAGGGTTGCTCAAGAACATCAAACATGACGGACCGAGAGCTGATGCAGTATGCCTACGTCTTTGGCTCCCAGCCTCTTTTGACCCTTTTGTTTTCCTTGTGTATAAAATAATATTCCTGTGGGGTCGTGTCTATTGTTTCTAGCACAAATGCCAAGAACCACTCGTGCAAACTAAGTTGATTTCAATGTCAAAGGGATAGTGTTTTCTTTTTTTTTAATATAATGATCAAGAGTGCTGCATCCAAGCCAGCCGCGACCCTGTGCCAGAAGTCAAGGACTTCAAAGCAGCTTCCTTCTAGGGCTCTGAAGGAACTGAAATGTCTATTTCTCCTTATCATCCAACTTAATTGTGGGCCATAAGTGACTGCTGGCAGGGAGCTCACATCACATGGTTCCAGTTCTGCTTCGGCAAAGGTCAGCAGAGGCACGAACACTGGCCTGCATTATGCGGCCTGTACCCTGCTCCCACGACACGTGCTTCGGGACACATGTTGCAATGTCGCACCACTGATTAATAGCCGCTTGCACAAGAAGTTTTTCATTACCCTGACTGCAGGCATCCTGGAAACGATTAACTGTGTGACATAACTCTCGTCCCACAAGCATGGGAGACTCAGAGCAGGCTCCAGAGTCCCTGCTTCAGAAATAACTGAACGGATTTTGGCTCCTTGATGTGAACATGATTAACAACTGTTTTAAAGCTACTGAGCAAAACAGAGAAACCTATTTAGGATTTTTTTTTTTTTTTAAACGAGTGGGAGTTTGATAGGAGATTGGTTCCTGTGTGAACACTCTTCTACCCTATTTTAATTTTGCCTTATGTGTTTTCCAGTTTTGCTGTTGAAAAATGTCAGATTTATTGAACCGTGCTCCATCTGATGAGCTAACGACTGAATTTATAGTTGATTTGGTTAAACATTTTCGGAGCCACAAATATACGACTCTCGTATTCTCACACACTGTATGAAGTTACAGTCTGACTGTTACGGAGTCCACGTCCCTACAAAGGTAAACTAAAATTCTACAGACTTTCCGACCTTATCCCTGGAGAACAGTCTGAAAGCCGGGGGCGCTGGGACTCTTCATCATGAGTGCGGTTGGCACCCAGGGGCCGCGCCTTGAGGCTGCAGGCTGCTGTCTGACTCCCAGCATGTGTGGTCTCTGCTGTGTGCCTTTGTCCCCTGGGCCTGTGTCTGAGGGAAGCACCCAGCCACATAGCTGAGTTCCAGGCAGGAAGGGGGCTCCCTTCCCTGGGTCCCAACTCACAGGAGAGGCCTGTGAGGGCGCTAGCTGAGATCCTTGGCACTCACTGTGGCCAGAGGGGTGGGCAGCTGAGCTTGGAGGAGGAGAGGCCTTCTGCAAGAGAAAGAGGCAGGGGATTGCCATCCATGCCCGGGACACAGTGCATCTCTTATGCAGCCAGGCCCCACTTGCTGCTGTGGCTTGGATGTGGTTCCCCTACAAAGGTTCATGTGCTGGAAGCTTGGTCCCCAGTGTGGCAGCATCAGGATGGTGGGACCTGGTGGCAGGTGGTTTGGTCACTGAAGACCCCGCCCTCCTCAGGGACTGTGTGGTGCTCTGATCAGTTACCACAAGAGGGCGCTGTTGCAGAACGAGCAAGTCCAGCCCTGGGTGGCTGTGGGCACGGGTTTCTCCCCTGCTCAGTGGGGATTCTCCAGGCATGGCCAAGCCACCCGCCCCGAGGGCCTCATGGGAGGAAGCTGAACAGAGGGACCACGGGATCTTGGACTTTCAGCCCCCAATACCGTGCACTAAATAAACTGCTTTTCTTTATGAAGTACCCGGCCTCAGGGATTTTGTTACAGCAACAAGGAACAAACTAATACTCTTGCCTTAACGCATGTCCTCCTCTCCAGCCGCAAATGCCAGCACCCTGCTCAGTCGGGCCGCCCAGGGCTCCGAGGCCAGGTCTCCAGCTCCCTCCAGTCCCCTCGGGGCTCGGTGCTATGGACCCGGCTTGGTGCCTGGTGCAAAGCCACTAACAAATGGGTAGACAGCGCCCTGAGAGCCCCAGGGCACACAGCCCACGGGACAAGAAGGGACTGGCGGGCTGCAGGGCTCACACATCCTCTGTTGACCGATTCCCTGACAGTGATGGAGGCCTTGGCGCTTCTTGCTACTGAGATTCTTGCTGAAAGGGTTTCCTCCTGAAGGGAGGTTGGAGAGATTTTCTTGACTGGGGTCTTTAGCGCCCCACTGGCTCATGCACCACCTCATGTTTCTTTTTCTTTTTTTTTTTTTTTAAGATTTTTATTTATTTATTTAACAGAGTTAGACAGTGAGAGAGAGAGACAGAGAAAGGTCTTCCTTCCGTTGGTTCACTCCCCAAATGGCCGCCTCGGCTGGAGCTGTGCCGATCTGAAGCCAGGAGCCAGGTGCTTCCTCCTGGTCTCCCATGCAGGTGCAGGGCCCAAGCACTTGGGCCATCCTCCACTGCCTTCCCGGACCACAGCAGAGAGCTGGCCTGGAAGAGGAGCAACCGGGACTAGAACCCAGTGCTCATATGGGATGCCGGCACTGCAGGCGGAGGATTAACCAAGTGAGCCACCATGCCGGCCCCAACCACCTCATATTTCTTTTTTTTTTTTTTTAACTTTTATTTAATGAATATAAATTTCCAAAGTACGACTTATGGATTACAATGGCTTCCCCCCCATACCGTCCCTCCCACCCACAACCCTCATATTTCTATATGTAGTTTGGGGGTCTTGGTCTCTGTGTCCTGGGCTGGGAAGAGACCCCTTAAAACCTGAATTGGGGGCCATTGCTGTGGTGCAGTGAGATAAAGCCTCCGCCTGCAGCGCCAGCATCCCACATGGGTGCCAGTTTGAGTCCTGGCTGATCCACTTCCGATCCAGTTCCCTGCTAATATGCCTGGGAAAGTAGTGGAAGATGACCCAAGTCCTTGGGCCCCTGCGCCCTTGTGGGAGACCCAGAAGAAGCTCCTGGCTCCTGGC